AGACAAAACAACTGCTATTCGGCGTCCTGGAACAAGTTCGACATGCACCAATACGCCACAAGTTAATTCTGGACACCCAAAAGTCCAGGAACTTTCCGCACTATGAACAGTTTTTGGGAAAGGATTTGATAAAATCCAACATGCTATTATCACAAATATACGTGTTCAACGCTTTGGGGTAAATTGACTGCTGCAGGGCGTGATGCTGCTCGTCGATTCAACGTCCATAGAAACACCATATGGTACTTCTGGGGATGTTTTCAGCAAAATATTCAAACTATAGACAGCGCCATGTAGAGACCACCCACGAGGCTATCTATCCATAGAAACACCATTTGGTACTTCTGGGGATGTTTTCAGCAAAATATTCTAACTATAGATAGCGCCATGTAGAGACCGCCCACCAGCAACGACCGCCACATACATCCCACACAGGTTCCAGCCTGACAGCCCGTAACATACCTGGCAGTTTGATGTCCACGCGTCCATGGCATCCGTCCAAGACACCCAGTGTGAACAGTTCTGAACGTCGACGCCTCCAAAGGGGCATGCGATGGGGAGGAAGTGACTGGAGAAGAGTTCTCTTCACCGATGAGTCACGTTACCTTCCTAGCCGAGCATGACACGTGTCTGTAGGTGCAGAGGTGATATCAGGCCATGTGTTGTGGGAGGGGATCGTTTTGGAGGTTGGGGCGTTTTGGTCTCCGATGGGATAACAGCTGCGACAAGGACACCAAGGATTGAAGGGAACTTGGCTCCTGTCAATTCTTGGACGAGTTTCCTTCCTCGGATATTGAATGATCTACCCCATTACTTTCATCGAAGTTTCCAGGTATCAATAGGACGATGGTGCCAGGCCTGCATTGACGTACAAGGTGCATCGATGCTTTTCAACACCATCTTGTGTTGTGGCTCATTGGTATATACCAGGTGCGCTATTCTGATGGACTGTTGATCGTTACCATGCCTTGAAATAGTTCTCTTTCCACGTAATAACATTGCATGCGTGACAGTAAAAGTTTGGCACTAATTCTGTTTGGTTGTAACAACAGGCCCACATGCACTACACCCACCCAACCCTTCAGCAGAAGGAACCAGACAGGCACTCTATCCACCAGACGAGGTTGGCGGAAACACTATCCTCATGACCGAAGAGGCTGTCTCTAGGCAGACACACTATCTACAAGATCAAGGAGGCATTCTCTGGACAGACACCCACCCAACCCTTCAGCAGAAGGAACCAGTCAGGCACTCTATCCACCAGACGAGGAGTCGGAAACACTATCTTCTTGACCGAAGAGGCTGTCTCTAGGCAGACACACTATCTACCAGATCAAGGAGGCATTCGCTGGACAGACACTCTACTACATCAACTTGACCAAAGAGGCAGTGTCCATTCAGACACACTATCTGCTTGACTAAAGGGGCAGTTTCGAGGCAAACACAATACCCATGAGACCAAGTTGACAGTTTCAGGGCAGACACCCTATCCACCAGACAAAGTATACGTAGGCGCTCTCTAGGTTGACTATCTTCACTATCCAGATTCATTCTCCAGGCAGACATATTACCAACCACACCGACGAGACGCCCTCTGGGCTGATTGTCTTGTCCATCCACTTGACCAAGGATGCTTCTACATGCAGACACACTATCCAGTGGATACAGTATGTAGTCTTCAGACACTGTCTGTTTGACCAAGTAAGCAGTTAACGGGCAGACACCCTATCAACAAGAAGAAGGCAGTAGTCTCAAGGAAGGCCCACTATCTACTAGGCCAAGGAAACTGGACAGATTCTCTATAGACCAAGGCGTTATTCACCGTATAGGTACATCATCCACTAGACCAAGGAGACAGTTTCCAGGCAGACACACTATCCCCTAGACCAAGTAAGCAGTCTCCACACAGACGCTCTATCCAATAGTCCAAGGAGACTCCAGGCATACACACTATCTATCCACTACGACAAGTAGGCAATCTCTAGGCAGACAAACTATCCACTACACCAAGTAGGCAGTCTCCAGGCAGACACACTATCTCCTATACCGACAGTCTCCAGGCATCCAAACCAGCCATTACAACAAGTATTTAGTCTCCATGCAGACAAACTATCCAATACACCAAGCAGGCAGTCTCCGCTAGACCACGGAGACAGTATCCAGGCATACAAACTATTTATCCACTACACCAAGTAGGCAATATCCAGGCGTACTCATCATCCACTGCACCACGAAGTCAGTCTCCAGACAGACAAGGAAGCATCAACCATTGTCACTCACTCACTCTCTACCCCAAATTGGTGGATACTTGTCATTGCTGCCATCAGTTGCTTCCAAGGGTGCTGCTGAGCGTCTTTTTGCAGTTGACAAACTGTGTGAAGCTACAAGCCCGATGTATGATGCTGTTCAACATTAGCATGTAGATGTACTAAGAATGAGATGGTTGGTACGATGGAACCACCCTGAACTGGGATGTCACTGATGAATATGGTTTTAAGCCGCTTTTAGCAATATTCCAGCAATATCACCAGACATGGGTTTCACACATTATACCCATGTGGCGAATCGAACCCGGATCTTCGGCGTGACGAGCCAACGCTTTAACCACTACGCTAACCCACCGCCCCGTGATGTCATTCGGTTTAATGTTGCATATGTTTCCACTCATATGCAACCACTCTGAACTGGGGTGTAACTGGGTTTAAGGTCGCAGATGTTTTCACTCATATGGAACCACCCTGAACTGGGGTGTAATTGGGTGTAAAGGTCGCAGATGTTTTCACTCATATGGAACCACCCTGAACTGGGGTGTAATTGGGTGTGAAGGTCGCAGATGTGTTCACTCACATGGAACTACACTGAACTGGGGTGTAACTGGGTTTAGGTAGGAGATGTTTCCACTCATATCGAACCACTCTAAACTGAGGTGTAATTGGGTTTAATATCGCAGATGTTTTCATTCATGTTTAACCACCCTGAACTGGGGTGTGATTTGGGTTTATGTCGTAGATGTTTTCTCTCACATGGAACCACCCTGAACTGGGGTGTAATTGGGTTTAATGTCGCCGTTATTGAATAAATACAAAAACCTTTGCGACATTCGACACAATTATGTGAAGGAAGTGTTACTTCTGCAGCTGTTGTGAAACTGTGATTTTCTGGATGATTTGCTTGAATGTGCGTGTTGTCCTCGCTATCATGTTTGATTCAGTGTTAGGACCCATCGCCTGTACAGTGCTCCAGTATGATTCGAGTGATTTGTTTCTTACATTCCGTTGTCTTTGGAAGAGACGGGATTTTTCAAGATGTAATTTTAAGTAGAGAAGATGAATAAAGCAGCAGGAAAGGAAGGAGTGTCGATTATGCTTTGTTTCGTCTTCTCTGAATTATTTATTTCCTCACTGTGTGGCTTAAACAGTCGCCTTACGTCGTCAACCTAAACCTATTTAATATTCAAAAGCACTTCTTCCATCAAACAAGTTGGCAATTGAAAATACTGACCTTAATTCTTAAATATTGCTGAGTAACATGTCACCGTTCCTATATCATTTATTTCTCTACGCAAGACTTTACTAACAAATATTTAGAAATTGTGTTGTAAACTACTGTAATGTTCACATTGCTTCAGTTTTGGCGTGCCTGTTACGTCATGTCACTATTTGTACCTTACGTAGAACTTGATAACCTCCATGGAGGACGGAATGTACATACAACTGATGTGGCCGTAAGGTAAGGTGAAGAATGGTTTAACGTCCCGATCAGAACTCTTTGACATTTATACAGCAAGGAGCACATACGTGTATGTGTATGTGTGCGTGTGTTTGTTTGTGTATATATATTTGTGTCCTTGTGTTTCTACACGTCCCTGTGTGTATATTATACAGGCAAACTGTGATAACTGCGTGTTCTGTGCACCTAGGATATGGTCCCCAAGGGTGACCTGCGACACTGATAAGGTAGTTATTGTACATTTACACCTCGTGTCAGCCCACCAGTAGCAGTAAACATCGAACCGTACCGAGAGGTACACGTTCACATCACTCTAACAGACAAGGTCATCTCAAAGGATTCTTTAAAGTATTAACGATGGTCGACTTTAAGTATCTTCCATGGCTGTTCCATGCACAAGTTTATGCACATATACAAAACCAGATGCATGTTCGCACATGCACACACACACACAGACGCATGCGTACACACACTTAGAAATACACACACGTGGTTTCCTATGTGTTGACGGTTTAGAATTGTCCTCTCGAAGACATGTCCACGGCTCTACGTTTAATCTTTAGGCCACAGGTTTGATATCCAGTCAGACGATAATAATTGTTGAATACACAGGTGAAATAAGGCTATATTGAAACACAGTAATCTATCTCCATTATAAGCTGAAGCCTATTACAAACGAAACATTCTGTTTTCCTACCCTGCTTCAAGATCCATAAGGAATAGCGGAGATAATGGGTAATGAAGCATTGTTTTGTGTGAGTTGGAAGCACAGATAGTAGCAATATAAGTGTAAAATATGTATTTATTTATATAACCTACAGCAATATAACATTGGAACATAGGCCCCACGATCTATATACGTAATCTTAAAACCAGTTTCCAAGGTCTGATGAGATGGGAATACAGAGAGAAAACCCGATGCGATTGCTACATTTAGGGAATCAAACACATACAGTAAGTATGTGCCCCCATCATACTGACTGACTGCAGAGTATATGCCACAGTGTTATATGTCACATCAACTGCACCTACAATAGGAGAACCATAGCTACTGTAGTAGATGGTGCCTCTATACAGTCTCATGATCCAGGAGACAGCGTTCAGTGTGATCACCTCTGTACTCACATTATTGGACACAATCATCTTCTTCAGTTTCACCTGTATATTATAATACAACACGCCCCCTGTCTGATCCAGGGTTACAGCAACCAGTTGGCTTCCTGTGGCTAATTTTGTCAGGCCTTGACCATCATATGTCACAGTGAACAGTTTCTTGTTATGACACTCATATATCCTCCTTCTCTTTGTATCAAGAGCTATTTGCTACCGTAAGTGGATAAGTCAATGATAGCAGTGAAGTCTTCCCCATGTGTAGACATGCGGCTGATTAAGAATCGTGGTACAGTGGTGGCCATGAATACGATGTCCCGATCTTCATCCACTGTCATGCCAACTGTCCGTATACGTTCTCTTAATACTGTCACGTGACGTGTATACAGTGTAGATGACACTATCTTATCGGGGCTGCCTAACCCAATCAGAAGTTTCTTTGTCTTTGCTATGTGAGCAAGGGAAGTCACATCTTTCATGGTGTGATGAGGGTGGACACTAAGGGAGTTACTGTGAATGTTGAGTTGACGGAACTGATGTGGGGTACTTGACCACATTGGAACTATCAAAATCCTACTCGTTTCCTCCTCTTGCCTCGGCGTCGGTGTTGACACAGTCGTCCTGGAGTGAGTGTAACATTTGGAGGAACGGGGTAGAAGGAGACACTGACTTTTGTTATCAGTTTTGACATTTGTGACTGACACGTGTCCTTCAATGTCGTGCATCGCTTGATGTCAGCTTTGAGATTGGCAGAGGTAACATCACACTTCTGTAGTTCCTTTTCCAGTCTGTGCTTATCTCTGACACAAATAACACTGGCGTTCTCTCGATTCCACACATCTGCCTTCTTGGGGATAGATTCGTGAAATATGGTCATCTAGTTCTGCAAGTGTCTGAGCGATCTTGAGATATGATAAAACTGACTCTTCTACTCAAGATAGCCATGTTTCAGATGCCGCAGTTCAGCGAAAACCTGACTTGTCGCCTTGTCTTGAAGAGACTCCTCTTGTAGAATCTCGGCCAGGGCTTCTCTCACTTCATCCCGTATGTTTTCCTTTAACTCAGCTCTCAAGGATGCCCTGACAACATCTATGGTGTTTAGTATCCTTTTCTCCATAGCGATCACACCCACCTTATTATCAAGCAGATCCTTCTCAAACTGCCCCAGTTTGTTTACAGCATACAAAATACTGTCCTGCCCACTACAGATCAGAGAGATAGATTTCAGCAAACATGACACGCATTTGGCCATCTTGTGAACTGTACAACAACAACCTGTGAGATGTGGTACGCCGCTAGAACAACGTATACATGACGCTCTTGCGAATGACTCGATGTCTACCTGCAAATGGTAGGTAGACGTGAGGTACAGGTTTATATCTACTGTGTTATCACAACGTATTCAGGGTTGAAGGACGTCTGGTACCATCTCAGAGAGAGAGTGGGAGAGAGAGAGAAGAGAAGAGAGAGAGAGAGATGGAGACAAAATACCGACACACACACACACACACACACTCAGACATACAGTAGTCATTCGCAAATCACACGAAAACGAAAGGCAAATACAGACATAGAGGCACAAACACACACACACCTACAGACACGTACATACGTATGTACATGCACAAAAAGACATAAACTAAAGCACATACACACACATGCACACAGACATAAACACACACTCACACACGTTACCCACTCCGTGACGAGTCTGTCCTGTCCACGTAGTTTGGTTTTGTAGATTGACTACATTTTTGTTACGTCTATTTGATCAAGATACATATTCAACCGATTATACTTGATTTCAGTAGCTGACATTTTCGCTTTGCTTTTCTTAATAAAAAACACACACCCAAAACGCCTAGCACGATGGCGCATTGAATGCTAACGACAGCTCGTGAAGAAGAAGAATGTACAACGCTTATTCTTTGCCGGTGGCCTTTGTGTTTATGGCTGTGTCAATACTTCCAACTGATTCCCTTGAAAACAATTCCCCCATTAGCTTTTGAAGTTGGCAAACGTACAAACCTTCCATTATGGATTTTGCTGACTAAGGAACACCACACAAAACACCACGATAAAGTATTGAACCGCTCGCTGGCCTGCCAGAAACGTACAATGTTTACTGACTTCTCTGTCGGTTCCAGTAGATTTACTCATGAATGCATATTTACCCAGCAATTCATACACAGGAAACACATCCACTAAATGACAACAACGTCTAATTTAACCAAACTATTCGTTTATTTCCTGCTGTAAGTCGGTTGATCTGGACATTTCTGAAGAATATTGCATAAAACGTCCAGGCCATGTACGCTGTACAAATGTACGTGTATGTAACTGGTCATTTGCTTATTGTGGGTTGTGCCTGCACTCGTTTCGAGAACGTGACAGGTTTGTAGAAACTCAATTATATTATAATTGTTTTTCTTTGATATTGTCAAAGTATAATATTAAGTGTAGTGTAAATTGCACAATGTAATGTTGGATAGTTTGCTAAAATGTGGCTATTGTTCGCATCTTGTCTAGAGCAGACACATAATGTGCCTCTATTTATGCATAACTAGATCGTGTTTCATTACATTGCCCCTTTTGATTGAAAGTTATACTTTCTGATATGTGGAGAAACTATTTGATATATATCTACATTATTATAAGGCATATTACTATGAGTTTTAAATGTGCATAAGATGATTCTTAAAATTAGCACCTTTTATTGTATGAATATCAATACATTAAAGACATTCACGTTTAATACATCCGCCCTCATATTCCAGGAGTATTGAAGGAGTTACAGTGGCTACACAAACTGAACACATTATTTCACTGATTTCATTATTCCAGGTACCAGTGTACAAGATATTTCATTCATTATTTATTTACAGTGCCTTCCGGACTAATATTTGGAAAAAATGAACTACATCACCTACTAAACATGATGTCTCTCAATCCGGGCTCTTCCTTGATTTTTGTTGGTGATACATCGATCAGTAAGTGAATCTTTCTCTGGTCCTTACAATTGAACACCTATTTCTGAACTAAACAAAGCATCATGTTATCTTAGATTACCTATATTTGCGCCCAAATTCGATCACTGTGCATGTTAATATTATTCCTGTTTTTATCTCGCATTTGTTCTGACAGAAAGAGATACACATGACATAATGGAGGAGTGGACTACACAGCATGGTGTGACTGTGATGTTCTTCCAAATGCACACCTTTGAACAGAGTCTGACTGGCTTGATGGAGACAACTCTCCAGAAGAACCGAATCAACATTTATAGCAAATTGTTCAACTTTGTCGTCTTCTGTGACGGGATTAACAACTGCTTGCCATCCATAACAGACATCGTAAGTTTCACGAATTACATGTACGTTAACAAAATTATTCAGATATTTGATTATACCTGATTCATAAGGTGTTAATTTGCGTGAACATTTCAGTTTATCAAGATGGACATTCCCCAGCGTGTTCCACGTATACATGCCAAAACCTCTGACGCATCGAATCGTACACATGCATTTTTGCTTACATACGTATTTGTGTACACATGTAGTTCTAATATATATACTAGCCACATAAAGAAACTATGCATTGTCAAAATATTATCCCAGTTGATAAGTACGATAACAATGTCAAAGGTATATATAAACTTTAATGGAGGGATCATGAGACCATAACAAGTCGGGAGAATTTCAATTGAAAAGTCAATCACAATGACGTCACGAGTCCACAAGCGGAACAGGGGTCAAACGACCATGTCACAAGCTCAATAACGGGTATGTCCACCATCGGCATTGAGAACAGCAGTGCATCGACGACACATAGAACCTATCAAACGTGCAAGGAAGGCTTGTGGGATGTCACGCCAGATTCTCGCAAGTTCTGTTGCAAGGTCAAGGACGTCATCTGGCTGATGAGGAAGACGGCGTAGACGTCGATCCATCTCGTCCCAAACATGCTCTATCGAGGAGAGATCCGGTGAATTTGCAGGCCAACGTTGTGGTGTTGCAAGAAATCCATAGCAACCCTTGCCGTATGATGGTGGGCATTGTACTGTTGGAATGTTAACCCAGGGCCATGACGTTGCAGAAAAGGAATTGCCACAGGTCGAAGAATCTGATCCCTGTAGCCCACACCGGTTAAGTTGCCCTGAACAATCACCAAAGGAGTTCTTTGGCGTGCTGTTATTCCACCCCAAATCATCACGGAACCACCACCAAAGCGATTCCTCTCCAATACACAGGCCTGTGCATAACGTTCTCCCACGGGTCTATAGGCACGTTGACGTCCATCACTATGGGAAATGTTAAACCTGGCCTCATCTGTAAAAACAACATTTCTCCACCAAAACAAGGGTCTGCGGACATGATTTCGGCACCACATTCGGCGAGCTTGTCGATGACGTTGTGTCAGGATAGGCCGTATGGCGGGACGTCGTGGTCTGATCCCGTGATGACGTTAACGTTGTCGAACTGTGTTGGGGTGGATACGGCGAAGTCATGGGATGGTTCGGGCAGTCATCACTGCCGTCTGAAACCTGTGGCGACGATGGGTCACCCTTATCCATATGTCCTGTCTTGGCGTTGATACACGTGGACGTCCAGAACGTGGCCGATCGATGACATTTTAGTTCTGTTAGCGTCTCACCAGTGCAGAAATGATGTTCCGGTGGCAATGGAAATGTGCAGCCACTTGTCGTTGAGACATTCCCCAAAGGACCATCCCAATGGCCTCATGACGTTGTGCAGACGTGAGCCTTGGCATGCTATGCGTTTCAATAGCCGTTTAATTTTTTGAACGATCGCAAGGGCAGGGGTTGAGCTTTCCAAAGTGACAGTATTGTGTGGCATTCATTTGCTCTGTTTCTCTTTCCCGGAATGCTCGTGCAACAACGTATTGCACGTTTCAAGGACGAACCCACTGACGTCACGGAACGTGGCTCGTGCATGCATGTTGGATACATGTCACTAATCTCTGAGTTTAAATCCTTATGTGTCTACATAGGTTTTGTATGCACATTTTCTTTATGTGCCTAGTATATTTTAATTCCCATTAATACAATTTCGTTTTGTGGATAGTATACATTCATGATTACTTCTTTCTGCCATAGGCCTCCAGAAAAGACAAGGAACTCGGACAAAGAACGCTGTTGCGCCATTTTTCGAAATGGCTCTTCCTCACTGTGGACCCGCCATTGTTATCAAAAG